CGGCGCCAAGTTACGGCCTGGTCATCGGTGTATGTAATGTGCTGATGAAACAAAAGGTCGCCGTCAATCCGTCTGTCATGCACTTAGAAAGGTGTAGTACCCACAGACAGCGTTGCCATATGTCTGGAGCATGAAATTATTCAGACTTGGCCACGCCGTATCTTTGTCGGTTCCAAGTTACGCAGTTTGTACGCAACACATTGAGGCCATATGGGCGGTCTTCTCGGACAGTATGCAGTCCCATGCGAGAAAGCGCAGGGTACGGGAATGAAGGCGAACACGGGGCAACTGAGTTGTTCGTGTCCTGAAGGAACTGTTCTGGTGGATACTGTGTGTTAACATGAGAGGGGAGAAGAGACGACAAGAGAGGATAAACAGAAGACAAAGGAGAAGAGGTCCGAAAAGAATGAAGACCGAAGAGTGGGAGAGGACAAGGGAATAGATGAGAGATAAGGAGAGGCGCAGACAAGATAGAAAAGAGAAGAGATGTTGGGATAAGAAAGGAAACGAGAGAAATGGAGGGGAGAAAAGAAAATATATGACAATGAACAACAGAAGAGAGGAGGGCAGAACAGAAGACAGAAGAGGTGAAAGGGTAGTTTTCCGTGAGCTTAATTAATTAAGCACCAGGCCAGGAAGACGTATGGGGTGTGGGTGGAAATATAGCTCTACCATTTTTGACCTCGGCACTACATGCAGGTGAGTGTTCAGCTTCACGCCCCAGCCGTTTTACCCCTGGGGAAAGAGCCACCGGCATCCATTGTACAGGAGGCTGGGTGGGCCGCGGAGACGGTCTGGACACTGTGGAGCAGAGAAAATCTTGTCCGTGCCGTGAATCGAACACGGGCCGTCCAGCCCGTAGCCTGTCGCTATACGTACTGAGGTATTCTGAGAGAAGTTGAAAGAGAATAAAAGACAATAGGTCAGAAGAAAAGAGACGTCAGTAAAGAGAGGAGAAAAAGGAGAAGGATAAAAAAGAGAGAAGTGAGCAGACGAGAAGTAAACCGATGATAGTAGGAGAAAAGAGACGAGAAAATGGGATGATAGGAAAGAAGGAACGCAAAGAAAGATGAAAGAAGAGGCAGGGACGAAGAGAACAGAAGAATGGGGAGAAGACATGTGAAGAAAAGGAAGAAGAGAAGAGACGACACCACAGCACTTCGTGTGCTGTGACACGTCTCTGCGAACCAATGATGAATGCGGCAGAACACATCTGTCCCCCCTCCCCGGGAAGTCACCAATATTTAATCAATTTAATGTTCCACAAAACTGGTCCATTTCTCCCTTCCAATTTCCCTGTAATTGCCGCATCGTGTACGCGTCATTCGGAGGCCATCAGTTTGTCGTTCCTTTCAAACATTCATTTCAAAAATATATATATACACACACACGTATATCTGGTGTCGGTTAAGAACGGCTTATGCAAAAATCATGGCGAAGGGCGTGAGTTGACTACAGGCATTTATAGCAACAGAAACGCAACGCTGTTCCTGTGCTTAATAAGGCACCAAATGATTGAGGCATATGAAGGCATGGGGGTATAAATCTAAACGCTCTTGTACTAATGGTAAGTGGTCAGCTTCACGCCCTCGACGTTTTACCCCCGGCAAATAACCCCACGATACCCATTGGATAGGAGAGTGGATGTGCCCCAGAACAGGTATACACACTATGATGAAATTAATAATAAACAAAAAGCCCCTGATTGGAATCGAACAGCCTGTTAACGAGGGAGGGGAAATGGCTTATCAGAATTATGGAGACGCTCAAAACCAGTAGAAAGTCGCTGAGGGGAAAGACAAACATATACAGAATTATTCACTCCGAAGGAGGCCAAAATTAATTAAAAATCGTGCGAAAAATTACCAATGAAATGGAATTCGCCAAAATTGTGTATTTTCAAACGCTGATCCGGAGCCTGCTATCAGTCTGCAATATTCGCCAACGTGTAGCGTCTTGGTCGCCCTGTGTCTCCAGACGGGGGCGCACCGACTTCAGTATCTTCCATTTTATATGGAAATTATTGCATTATTTATAATTATTAATTTGTGGACTACTCTGAGTGCACCTCCCTGTCTCAAAAAATAAAACTGTCACAATTCAGGCCCATGAATTCGTTCCTACATGTACCGTTATTGGGAACGGGTAGTTATAGCGTCTCAAGGCACTGGAAATGGCTTCCTCAAGCTGAAAGGCTCTGAACTACTCGCCTCTACCCCAAATTCTATCCCCACTTTAAACGTACAGACGATATTTTCTTCACAGCGTCCAGACTGGCACTGGGGCACACCCAACCTGCCGTACAATGGGTATTGCGGGTTGCTTCCCCGGGGGTAACGAGCTGACCACTATCTGCATTTAGTGTCGAGGCTGAGAATGGTGGAGCTATACATCTATTCACCCATACGCCTTCATGGCGTGGTGCTTAATTAGTTAAGGTCATGCTAACTTTACCTTTCCCTTACTTGTGTTCGAAAAACAACGTGTAATGGTGCTGACGTAAGTCAAAAAAGTTAAAAGACTTGACTTAAGCCCTTATTGAAAATGTAAAAAGGAAAAGTCCCTGTGCTTAACTAATTAAGCACTATGCCATGAATGCGTATGGGGGAGTGGATGTATAGATTCATGTTTTCTTGACCTCTGCACTAGTTGGAGGTGAGTGGTCAGCTTCACGCCCCTGCCGCTTTACCCCCAGGGGAAGAGCCCCCGGTACCCATTGGATAGAAGACTGCGTGAGCCCCAGAGTCGGTCTGAACGACATGGAGAAATGAACATTCTTGCAACCATCAGGACTCGAACTCCGATCCCTTGGTCGTCCAGCCTGTAGCCAGTTGCTATACCGACTGAGCTACCCCGGCTCTTAAGCGCTTATTAAAGTAACTAAAAAAACATGATTGCCTCCACACAATATGATGTTATTGGATAATTGCTGTACAGAAGCCTACCAATTGTAATAATTATGAACATACTGTGACATGTCAAACCGTTATTGGGCAACGGGATGTGGAACGAGTTACCACGAAGACGGACTCTTGATAAACGGTCGGTTGCCAAGTTAGGAACAGTGGAACGCGAATATGCAACAAGGAAAGCGGTGTTTCTCTGTGCTGTGCTGAGCCGAGCCGAGCCGAACCGCACTGGTTGCTACGCAACAGTAAACAATTCTCGGCAGCGTTGACAAGCAACGCCTCTGTAAACACGGTGGTCACGCAACAGTGAAACAAGCTGCGTTTTCCGCCTGTCCGATTGAGGGTTTGTAAGAGAAACTGGAATAACTGCGGAGCCAAACTCGTGTGGAGGCGGGTTCGAATAACTCCACCGTGACCCTGTGAGTCGTAGGAGGCGACGAAAAGGGAAGTCTCAATTCTGAAACAGTAAAATATGGTCGCGAGTCCCAAGTGACTCGGACCCTAGAAAGACTGCGCTGGCAAGAACCAGCAGCATGTACAAATGACAGACCCGTCTTCTCGTTAGCGAGGGAGCCTCACAAAAAACAAGACCATAACTGTCAAACAGTAATAAATATCCGGTCATGAGACCCAGATGGGGCTCGATACCAAGACTTACTTACTGACTGACTGACTGACTGACTGACTGACTGACTGACCGTCAGTCGCAATGTGACTTTGACTTTAAGGAGCCAGTATTCCGCAGAACAGAAGTCTGTCAGTCGAGACAGCCGCGGGAATAAGCAGAACTGAATGAGTGATTATAAGATTTTATGTGTGACAATCAGTGATAGTTTGCGATAACTGAGAAGGCATTGGATATTTGGAGTGTGTAATTCAGTGACACTTTTACAGCTCCCATGTTATACTGTAAATACATGAAGACTACTGAAGATAGCGTGAATAGATTAGTGTGTAGGGTTTGTAAATTGTGTAAACACTCAACAGTGTCAATTAATTGTAGTTACGACTTGCAGGTTGTTAATAAAACCATTTAACAATCCGAACGGCGTCCACAGTAGCCAAACATGTTACAATACGTTCAGAGGGCAGATGTATAGGCTGATCCCTTACAGAGGGCCATATGCAATGCAGTTTCTAGTGTAGACAGCCCACTCGGTATAGCGACGGACTTCGAGCTCGACAACAGAGGAATAAGGGGGTTCGAATTCCCGCGCAGGCAAATAGTTTATCCCCTACAGCGTCCAGACTGGCTCTGAGGCCCAAACAGCCAATGGAAACCGGGTGGTGTGTTCTCTCGACTTAAACGGCCAGAGCTTAATTAAGCATCATAATGTAGAATGTAGTGGAGATTGGAGGATTAGCTATTCTTAACCTCTTGACTGGATGGAGCTGAATGGTTGGGTTCTGGCTCAGGCCGCTTTTTGTGCTCGAGTGCGTTATCATTTCCTTATGTTGTGGCCCTGAGTGACACGTCGAAATCTGATCTGGAGACCGGCTATTCAGATTGTGGGTTCTCCTGGTTCTACCCAGTCCCTCCAATCAAATGCGGGGACACTCTCTCAAATTAGGCCACGACCGCTTCCTTCCACATCCTTTCCAATTCATTTTCCAATCGTCCGATCATTGCTATATAAGCTGGGCTGTTGAAGAAGTTACAAACAAACCATACATCTGCGCAAGACTGTCACTGCGCATGCGCTCATTGCAGGTAGACCTAATTCTGCCAACAATAGTTGGCAATCGTCAGCTGTCGTTTTCATGAATGTTTTAAGATCTGAGGTCCTGACAACGGTGATAATGAAGAGTCCTGTCTTCTGGGATATAACGCCGAGAGCTTTCTACGTGCTTCACGCAGGTTCCTCCGAAACGTCGTCTATTTCCAACGGACTATAGGGGCGTTACATCTCAGAAGACAAAACTCTTCATCATGTTATTTAGACAAGCTTCTTGAAAAGTATGTGTTCCTTTTTTTTAATACTGGATGTTATGATTGGATTGAGCACACGAAATGATTTAAAGTTCTGTCTAGGATTCATCCAATTTCGACCGCTCTGGTCACAGAAACCATTAATAAAAGATAATACTTATTTTCATTGGGGTCGATGGTGCAGAATGGGAAGTTCTCAGCTGCCGCCTGGCTTTTAGTCAACACATTGAAGAAAGTAGACTTGCCGACGTTCGGTATACCCACAATACCAACTTTCAGATTGGTTCCAACACGACCAATCAGAGGCTTCTTCTCAGGCGCTTCTACCTTCTTGGGCGCCATTGGAAATCAACTGGACAGAGAAACAAGGAAACAAAAAAATAACACCAGAGCACAGGAAAACTCAAATATGGTAATAGCCCACGATTCTCGATATACAGCCCTTCGGCAACTGACAGGCAACCCACCAATAACCTGCCATGCTTACAGTATATACAGATGAATACAAGTCTTGCTGTCCTATTAACCAGATCACAGGGCGATTCATGTTACTGTTAAACAATGTGACAAATCTTTGGAACAGAAGCTCAAAGATCAAAGTTATGTTACGTCAGTCAGCCAGTCTGTCTTGGTGTCAGGTACCCCATGTAGGGCCAATGACAAAATTTATATTACTGTAAGTTTCTGTTTTTTAATGTGGGGCGCCCTCTCTGACGAGTGGACGGGTCTGTTGTTTACTCCTCGCCGGCACATCCTCGGGTCCGAATCCCAGGGGACTCATGACTGTCTCAGAATCGAGACTCCCCCAACCTGAGGGTGAGGTCCACTTATTTATGTCCCCCGGGAACAAGGTGGCCCAGTGATACTCCCAAGGTTGGAACAGAAGCTTCAAATTCACATACATAGAAAAAATCAGTCCGTACCTCACAGGAAACACATTACGTCTCCGCTACAAAGCCCAACCAATTAATGCTGTTTAGGGAAATAATCGCTGTTTGTTGTGAGAACCATATGGAACACATAAAGACACTGTGTGGGCAGATTGCAGAGTTCAGTTCGTACCTCACAGGAAACACACTACGTCTCCGCCACAAAGCCTAACCGGTTAATGCTGTTCAGGGAAATAATCACTGTTTATTGTGAGAACCATACGGAACACATAAATACACTGTGTGGGCAGAATTCAGAGTTCAGTGCGTAGGTCACAGGAAACACACTACGTCTCCACTACAAAGGCCAACCGGTTATGCTGTTTAGGGAAATAATCGCTGTTTATTGTGAGAATCATATGTAACCCCCAAATATACATCGTGAAGGCACAATGCACAGTTTCTGTACGTTAAAGCAGATGGCGCACGTGCTTACCACTGTGCTTTAAAAGAGTTAATAATTTCGCGGAGTGCTAGACTGGTGCTTGAGGGCGTTATATCGGCAAACGGCAGAACTAATAATTACAATAAAGGTTAAGTGATGCACATATTACGATGGTTTGCTGCTAGGCGGCAGCGGGTTCCTACTTATGAAACTGTACGGCACCTCAACAGAGAAGGCCGTAATGTTAGTGGAGACAGAATAATCCTCCGAAACGTCGGTACATATGAACCAAACTACATATAATTTGAATACTACCATTGTGAAAACATCAATACCGAGCGAGACGTTGTAGCGGTACCGATCTAGATTTTGTAATCAGGAGGTGTTCACTTCGAATATCGGCCGCGACATCGGCTATCCTAACGGAGGCTTTTCGTGGTTTTTCTCAGTCCTTCTAGGCCAGCGTTTCTGAACTTGTGGTCCGCAAGCAGACTTATATTAAATTAAATTAAAAATTATCCAACCAAAACAAATTAAAATTAATTATATATTATTATTTATTTGTTTAATGAAGCTTAAATTTTTGTTCAACGATCATTCACTTTTAATAGTTTACTTACAATTTAATTAATTTTGTTTCCACATGTATTCAGAACATGGTTTTAGATTATGTTATAAATAGCATACTTATTTACTTACTCATGGAGCTGAGCCCTTCTGGAGGAGCCGCTAATTATGCAGCTACTCGAGAGTCTCCCAGCATTTTATGGAACCCGAAGGTTCATTACCGTGTTCACAAGAGCCGTCCCTATCCTGAGCCAGATCTATCCAGTACATACCATTCCAGCCTATTTCTCTAAGATCCATTCCAATATCGTCCACCCACCTACGCCTTGGTCTTCCCTGTGGTCTCTTTCCTTCCGGCTTTCCAACCAATATCCTATACGCATTCCTCGTCTCCCCATTCGTGCTACATGACCTGCCCATCTCATCCTCCTTGACATAATCATTCTAATTATACTTGGAGAAGAGTACAAATTATGAAGCTCCTCATTATACAGTTTTCTCAAACCTCCTTTCACTTCATCCCTCTTCGGTCCAAATATTCTCAACACCCTGTTCTCATACATCCTCAGTCTCTGTTCCTCCCTTAATGTCAGAGACCAAGTTTCACACCCATACAGAACCACAGGCAAAATTATAGCTTTGTATATTCTAATTTTTAAGTTTTTGGACAGCAGGCGAGAAGACAAAAGGTTCTGCACTCAATGGTAGCAAGCATTACCCGAGTTCAATCGCCTCTTAATTTCCTCCTGAATCAGGTTTCGATCTGTTATCGTTGTTCCCAAATATCTGAATTGTGCCACATTTTAAAACATCTGTTTCTTATCTTTATGTCATGATTTTGCCCCGCATTTTGGTGACGAGACAGTAACATATACTTAGTTTTCTCTGTGCTTACTTCTAGACCAACCTCTTTCCTTGCGTCAATTAAAGTTTGTGTGTTTTTCTTTATGATATCTACATTATCACCCAGTAGATTCACATCATCAGCGTAGAGTAACAGCTGATGTGTCCCATGTCCCAAATGTTGGTAATACCACTTAGGTTTAAAGATATATGCCTACATAACTTAGTGGTCCGTAGAATTTTTTCAGACATTTTACTGGTCCTTGGGCTTAAAAAGGTTGAGCAACACTGCTTTAGGCAAATGCAGGGCTAGTGCTTGGAACAGGCTACAGCCGCTCCCTTCTGTTTCTTTCCCAGTTCATCAGGCATCCTACCATTCGACGCTATACGACAGCGACAGCGACACCAAACCATCAGCCTTACATACGCCTGATACTGCGTTCACAATTGTGAACAGTCAGGAGTGAGACGAGGTGTGAAGAGACAGACAATAATCTGAAGCAGAATTAGGGCCAGAAGAAAAAATCTTCACATTTTAGAACTTTAAAGATGGAGGCAGAAGGCTGCTCCGAAACGTCGGTATCTACATACCACACCACATCCTAAGTAACAGATCTGCACAATCGCCGCCATAAGAACTTCAAATTTCAATTCGTCCCCTTGGTTTTACAAAGGGCAATTTGGAATTCTTGAGCTGATGATCACGGTCCTCTGGCGTTCTTTACAGAGCACAAAAGAAAAATGCCTGTGATGTAGCACCAGCGCTCAAATAGTTACACTGTAAGTTATAGAGCAATTTCGATTTTCTGCCCTCCTGATCCAAAATACAGCCTGGTTTTCATAAAAGTGACTTTCCCATATACCCCATAAACCTTTTCACGGATTCTGACAAAACTCGATATGGGTGGCTTTCACTAATTTGAATTTTATTTTTACCGTTTTTAAGTAAGCTCTGAAGCTTCATAATTTGTACTCTTCGCCGAGGAATGCATAGAGGATATTGTTGGAAAAGCAGAATGAAGGAGACCACTAGGAAGACCTAAACGTGCATGGGTGGATAATATTAAAACGGATCTAAAGACATACAATAGGATGGTATTGACTGGATCGATCTGGCTCAGGATAGGGACCGGTGGAGGGCTCTTGTGAACACGGTAATGAACCTTCGGGTTTCATAAAATGCTGGGAAGTTCTTGAGTAGCTGAAAAATTTGACTTTTCAAGAAAAATTCATCTCAATGAAGCTGGTTTATAAACTTGAAAGAAGGCCTCAGACACGTTATGAACCACAGTCATGTTTCCAGTTAGATCTGTAAATCTAACTCTTATTCACCCTATAGTACATACTATCCGGCCTCCTACTGCAATAACCATTTCATTCTTATTATGATGTTTTATTTTTTGTATATAACGAGAGATCTTTTAATCTCGCCTCTCCTCTGTGTGTCTGGGCTCCGTTCAGCCCAACATTTAATGATGTATGCAATACCATTCTTTGGTACGAAGCCAGCAATCCCTTGCACAGAAAACAATCGGTATTAATATAATTATCCATGCGGCTGGCGGCCATTCAAAGACACAAACGTCTAATTTCGAAACCAGATTCCTTAGAGACGGAGAGCACAACCAGTCAGAGTCCAGGTTCTCCGTAGCAGCTTCGTAAATTTACATATTTCCCTTGTTTCCGAAACGGAATGGAGATGCGTGGGGATATGCAAGATGGAAGCTGTATCGTAGGGGTGATCAATAAGCCTCAGAAATCATACAAAAGGGGAATTTTGTCCCTGTGCTTCAGTAGGCGTCAAGGGGAATTGAGGTATAACTCCACGCATTCTTAACGTCGGCACTAGATGGAGATGAACAGTCGGCTTCATTCCCGGCTACTTCGCCCGCCAGTGAACGAGCTACGGCATCCACTGGATAGGAGGCTGAGTACACCCCAAAGGCAAGGAACACACACGGCGACATTGGTCGTACGGAAAAATGTCGTATGATTTTTTGCCGTACGACCTCCTTTTCACACTAGAGCGACTTTATCCGCACCGAATCGCAGTTTTGATGACGGAACAATGAACGATGGACCGAGAGCGCGTACTTGCTATGTGGTATTTTCACCGACGCCGAAAAGAAAAACGTAGGCAGCAGGAAAGATTGCGCTGGGTGCATCCAATCAGTCAAAGGCGAGATGAAGTTGTGATTTGGTCCGACTGCTCTCCGACTGTCGTACGGTAGATGTCGCATGTCGTCACGTATGAAAGCTATGACTACACTTTATATTCTACTACTTGATGCGACACGAACCGTACGGATGTCGTACGACCGCTGTCGCTGTGTGTGTTTCTAGCCAAAGCCATTCTGGACACTATTCCCCGCTGGGAATCGAACACATATTCCTCCAAATCTCTGCTGCAGACTTCGATAAAGCCACTGGTCTCTACTCTGGCCCACATCAACACATTCCACACTGCCCTATCCTACTAGTCTAAGATCAATATTTTAGCGTGTAGACCCATTACTGGATAACGACTGCGAAACAAACAACGAAACAACACCATTTGCTGGGCAACAGATTCTTAATAAGCAGCCGTTACTGAGTAACGCCTTCACAAACACGTTACTACGAAAACGA